AGGCCCGATTAAAATAAATAAATAAAATTTAATTATTACAAGCCATTTAATAAAGAATATTACAAACAATTTTGAATATTTTGAAAACCAAATGGCGCCCATGATCAACCCTCTATCTAATATTCATCATCACATAAATAAATATTAAACATTCATACCAATATAATAAACAATTATTTAAAGGCATGAATATAAACAATTATTTAAAAATATTATATTTCACTAATATATATAAAATAAATAATCTCATATTATATATATTATATAATATAATATATATATATATAATATATATATATGTGGTAATAAATCATAACTTTTGGGCATGCAACAATACACATTTTATAGGAATCATTATACAAACACTTTTGTCATTCCACCCAAGTATTATTTAATTGTAGCATTTCAATACTTTTCACAAAAGTCATGCATGAATAGATAAATGGTTTTTATCACTCCAGAGTAATCATCATTTACTTTTAGCTAAATAATACATTTTATGACACATTTATCTTCTTAAAGACAATCATGTCATCTTGCACATCATTTTTGAAACCATTCAAACACCCATTATTCATTTCAAAAATATATAATTTAGGCCATGCAATGACGCATTATAAGATAATTTAATCAAATTAAACATCCTACATTAATAATTTACCACCATCATACATACATAATCACAATTCACATATGAATTAATAATCCATAACTTTATGCTAACATCAATTCCACACTAAACACCTTGCACATTTGCATACACTTCTGCAAAATATTCTTTAATCAAATTAAGAATAACACATTCAGCATGTCAAAGCATAAACCATTTAATCAAAGTAATGGAAATGAACATGCATGAACTTTTCTAAATGAATCATCATGCAACATTTCCTAAAAATCATTCATCAATACATGAATGAAATGACATTTCTTATGGCAAAACTAGTCATGGCCGAAATGACATATATCATGCATGTAGTTTCTCACACATCTCATGCAATAATCACATTCAAACATGCTTTAAATCATATTCTAACATACCCAAACATATACAACAAGAAGAAAACAGTTTTCCCAAAACAAAGAGATGGCCGAGACTACACATGCATCAAACATGCTTATACATCAAACAACTTACCAATACAAAGGCATGCTCATTATAACCATTATCATCATTCAAAACATATAGAATGAGAAGAAAAATGAACATATACCTCTGATCTATGAATGGCCGAGACATGCATGTAAAGATCTACTATGAAAAAAAAAACATTTTTGAACCTATCACAAACATGCAAACTCAACCAAGTTTGATGAACATATGAACACATGGAAAATGTCATTTTAGCTTATAAATTCGACATGCAAGGAGCTTTTAGCTCTGATACCATTTGAAAGAACAGCATGCATGCATGAAGAGTGGGGAAATGGAGAAGAAAGCATAAAAATGGATTCAAGAAAACAGTTTTAAAAACAAGCTTGAGAAGAAATTATACCTACTCTGTTTGCTTTGGATTGATGAAGATTAGCTTCAAATGGATGAAACCTCTACACTTTACACCACCTTGAGAGATTAGAGAGTGGCCGTGGGTTTGAGAGAGAGTTTGGTTTGTGTTTTTTGTGAACTAGTCAAGAATGAACAAAAATGCAACCTTTTGCACTTATATATCTTGGGCAATATTGCAATTATTTATTTTTCACTTCCAAGCCCAATAAACTTATTTTATAAAGGGACCCCACGAATTTATATGCTACCCTTTGAATTCAATATTATTCAAGGGCCCATGTAAACTAGTTTACATTACAACCCAAAAATTTACTCATTTTTACCCTTTAACTATTAAAAGGTTATTTTTGTTCATCTCATTAATCTTAACACTTTAAGATATAATAATTAATATAATTAATTATTGCTTGACCATTTAACCCTTAAAATGTCACAAGATTTCTATGTAACTATTACTATAGAAATCCCGTTATTACCCTCGGAGGTGCTAGCCCTCTTCGGATAATCATTTCTCTCTCTCTTCCTTCTCTAACTTCTCAAGGCTTTGGTGTGTGTAGGTCCACCGTGGATTAGCCGTGAGCCGGTTCGGATGAATCCAGAACCTGTCCGAGGCCCAACAACTTGGTAAACATCTAGCAATGTGCCATAGTCCCTAAACCACGATGAAGAAATACTTCATCGAACCTATTTCAAGATCATACGTACCATGCAGGTAAAGTCCCTCCATTGAGATATCCAATCAAGTATGGATTTATGGAATGTCAAAATCCTAAACTCGATCTTCTACCGATTGTCGATCAATATGCCGGAACTTGTCATCATAAACTTACTTTTGTATGACTAATAATAGACCTGGCCAGAGATCAGTTTTCCGACATTTATCGATGTTCGTCTAGGAACTCGAATTCGGATGAGTCAGCGGTACTCCGATCCTATATTTCCGAGTCAATGGATCCCCTCTTGACCATCGTTCGTTTCCGCATATGAAACACGCATGACCAAATAGGCTTTGTTGTACGAACATGATTAGTCTCGTACTTATACACCGTATGAACCATACGCATCCATATCGGTCCACTACTGTCTCAGGTCAAAGGACTACATCGTGCACTGATATAACCAAACGATAAATCATTGACTACATGCTTTTCCAAGTGATTTGTTGATATTTGTCACGTTTGAAAAACAGTTCACACCACCGTTAATCCATACCAATGCCCCAGTGACATGACTATTATCGTCATCCGTACTTATATCAACTCATGATATCTTTCGGAAGCATCCGGTATGCCTACTGTGCAATATAGTTGCCCAAATTTATATTGCTTCCGTAGGGAACCCTTTTCGATAATTCATTTACCTATTAAACGAATCATCTGGACAATTCATATACATACTTTATTTAAAGCATGACTGAATAAAGGAAGCAATTTACATATATGAATTGAAGACCTCTTTCTTCTATTATTTATGATATATATAGATACAAGACAAAATGCTCTGAAACCGACAACACGAATGGTTTCTAGGGCATACACTAATATACACTAATAGATTCATCCCTCTCTTGCCTTATGTTTGCTGAGGTAGCTCAAAGGCATTGAGAACTTCCTATTTGCTTGGAAGTGTCGTAGGAACGTCGTGCTCATCTGAGGCCACGAGCTGATCAATCCCGCTAGGAGTGACCTGAACCACCGTTTGGCATGAGAGGTTAGAGTTACTACCAAACAACGACACTTTGCCAAGTCTGAAAGCTGGTGAATTTGCCAAGTCTGAAAGCTGGTGAAGCTCCATCAAGTCGTTGAATTCATACAAGTGATCCTTCGGATCATAATTTCCATCGAACACCCGCATATCGGGCATTCTAAATCTTGATGGGAGAGAGGCGACTAATACCGCCGGAGAAAAGGGAGACGCTGCTGCGACCTGCCCTTGCTCATTTTGCCGACTTTTAGCTGATCTAGAGCTTGTTGTAACTCCTCAATCTGAGACAACGGAGCTATCTGGGGATTGCTTTCCCCCATGTGAGTTCAACCCTCACGATTGCGATTAAGGAATGACCGTAGGTCGGATTCCTCCTCGCCTCTGCCGGTAGTTCTGACCAATATTGACACACGCTGGCTAGAGCCGTGTGATGGCGATGAATGGTGCGAGGAATTTTTACGACCTCTGCGGTGATACGAACCGCCCCGCAGAGTGTGGGAACCTCCCGCACGATGACGATCGAGATCGTTATTCTGGCGGTGATAAGAATCGCCCCGCCCAGCACTTTTATAGGAGTGCTCATGCGATGCGGCATAGGATGGCTGAGGATGCGACCTGTCACCGAGCTTTAACGCCACGGGTATTCTACCCGGGATGTGGCCGATGTTTGCCGACCCTTTGGAGCCCTTAGGCCTGCTGTTCGCCACTTGCTTACCCTTCCTTTGATGCTCTACAATGCGCGCGGCATGGGCGTTTCGCCCTACCTATAGGCACATCGCCCCATTTGATTCGGGTGGCATGCCCCGGTCCAAATAGTCCAACCTGTGGTTAACCGTTTGGAGAGTATTGTTGAACCTCTCCAAGTAGCTCATGACGGTAGGGTCAAGTTGTGAGCTTGAAGGGATATCCCTCACGGCATTTTTTGGAGCTGAGGGCACCTCGGGAGAAGTGTCCTCTTGTACCTGGGGATCTCCTCAGCACCATGGTTGGTTCGCTCAGGTTCGAATCGGTGAGCCATTTGCTGTTGTAGGACCAATTTATTAGAGATTCTCTTGATGAAGGACGGATACTAAATCAGGCCATTCCTCTAGCGCCAAACTGTTGATGCTTGATTTTGACACTAACTAAACGCATGTGTGAAATGCTAAGCTGGCCCAGAAGACACACGCGAATGAGAGTAGTGAAAATAAATAATAGATGGAGAAACAAAGTTTTAAAGTGGTTCGGATGTTTAAGCAAGTGACTCCTACGTCAACTGATATTGTATTAATATGGAGGGTCAGATCGCGTTCAGCGAGTTGACTTGCAAATGATTACAGAAGAGAGAATAAGCTATTACTGAGAGAATTTAGCTATTATATAGTGAAAATGAGTCAATCCCACAAACGGGAGATGAACTCTCTATTTGTAGTGGGATGAATTTGAGTAATGATCACATAATCCGTAAAAAGGGGGCAGATACTGTGCAAATCCTTCTTTGCGTCCCGTTACTCTGGCGTGCACCCACTACAGTGGCGAGAGCATGCTGCTCACGCCAGCATATAAGGTGGCAGCGTCTGAACGGCTGTAGGATCTGCCTAGGCTCTGACCATTTACGCTGACCGGGCTCTGCGTCAGCCTTACTTTTTTAGGCATAATAATTTATTGTTAAACAAAATTATTCATCGATTATCTATTAACAAGTAATATTTTACCTAATAATAAGCATTAATGATTTACTTGAAAAAAAAAAAAAAAAAAAAAAAAAAACGAAATAGTAGAGGTTTGTTTTTAATAAACCCTCCGGCAACACGGACAATTTAATTTCGCTCACTCTCTCTTCACATACACTATCAAAATGGCTTCCCAGCCGCGACGAGGCGGAGTCTCTCTCCCGGACCGGCGGGCCCCGAAGAACACCAACCAGGATGGTATAATCACCAAGCTCATCAATGCTCCCATCGTCTCTCGCGGCAAGCAAGCAGCATGCGACGCCGTTTATGTCTCCAAGAAGCTTCTCCGCAGCACGGGAAAGGCAGCGTGGATCGCCGGCACCACGTTCCTCATTCTGGTGGTCCCATTGATTATCGAGATGGATCGCGAGCAGCAGCTCAACGAACTGGAGCTCCAGCAGGCCAGCCTTCTCGGAGCCCCACCCGTCAATCCGACACTCTCGGTTCCGAGGTAGAATTGAATTGCTATTATTCCATTGTATTACTGGAGAGAGATTTGAATTACTTTGTCGACGAAGTTTTTTTTTTTCTTCTTTTTAGCTATAATAGAGTTTTAAGCGTACCTTAAGATTTGAGCTAATCAAGCCATTATTATGGTAAACTTCATTTGCGTGATTCTATGGTTTGCTTTAAAACTTTTTTTTGGGTCTATATGCCTCTCTCTATATTTAGTCGTGGTTTTAGTTTCATGCTAGAACTATTTGTTGCATTGTTATGATGCCAATTCCCTTTTATTTTATTTTCCCTGTTTGCTAATGTTAGGAATGTTATGATTTCAGTTGTATCACGTGTATGATTTGAAGTAAATTACTTAAATAAGATTTTGGTGAAAACACGGTTTCAATGCATTAGAATTAACTGTTGACATTGAATTACCTGACGAGGTGTTTCATTGAAGACTGGTTCCATCACTTTGCTAAACATTGTGTGGTTGAAGGATTATGTTTAATGTACTTTCAATTTAATTAGCTTCATCAGCTGCTCGCTTGGTTTGGATCTGGAAATATTTTATTGTGTTCAGTACCGAGAAGGAGAAGGGGAGAAAGGGGAAGGGTGCAGGGATGAAGATGAGACGGAAATTATGGGGCTCTCACTGTCTACTCCTTCAGTGTTGTGTGTAGTCTAAAGATGGAATGGAAGAGAATTCTTTGTTTGTGTTCATGCTTAACCTTATTTGCTAGTTTTTGTTCAGTAAAAGGATAAATTCTCTTCTCGTAATGGGGCTTATACTTTTTGGCCATTATAGTGTTCATCCTTCTCTTTTTACAAACAAATAAGGAAAATGCTGTCCTATTAATTGTTTTTGTTTTTTACACTGTTTCCGTCTTTCCAACCAAAGAATTTTTAGTGCAAACCTGTGGGGTTAAAGTCTTTCTATTGGTGCCTTAAGGGTCCTTCTTTTACCTTGAAGCAACCAACTAAACTAGGAAATATTATTCAGAATCCAGCATATTGGTGTCACTAGGCAGAAAATTTATGCTTTAGAAGGTTGTCTATTTCTCCGTCAATGAATTTGCTTTTGATTCATGTTTCCTATTCATAGCCATAAGTATGTTGGTTGATGAAATGCTGATATCACATATCTATGATAAAGTCACTCGCCTGAAGGGTGAAGCAAAATGTTCTGTCAATTTTACTAATCTATCTGGGGAAACTAGTGGGACTTTTGGGGGTTTTGCTTTCTTTTCTCTTTTAAAAAGTTAATCTACAATATTTCGTGCTATCCTTTCAACTACTATGTATCTTGAGACTGAGCTTCCTTTCTTAAAAATGTAAGTGGTGCAGTACTGTTTCTAGTGGTAATGGTTCTCAGGAGTTATGAAAATGTGGTAAAATCATCTGGAAGTTTTGAAATTTCTTGCAGGCATGGCCAAATAATCCATGAGTATGTCTTATTATGGTTTTCTTTGTGCAAAATGCATTGTTAGATTTGTTGTGAAATATAATTCATCAATTATATCACATTAGGCATGTTAGATATGTATTGTCCGTTTTTCTTTCACAGATATTTGTAACAATCTTGTACCATCATATTAGAAAATTGACATTATGATGAAGCATTTTTTGGTTCAAACTGTGATTTTTTGGTCAGAGTTCTTGGGGATTTTGAATCCTTGTGGGCTTCAGATGCTAGGTTTTGTTTTCAAATTCTCTGTGGTTTTATTATGATTTCATAGATGGGAAGTGAATGTTTACTGGGTGCTCCATTGAAGTTTGTAGGATCATTTTCTTTTTTCTTCAAAATGTCAAAAGGTAGATCTTGAACCTGTAACGATGATAAACGTTTGAACACGAGGATAGTGGATATGTGGCTAAGGCATAGTTGAAACTCGTTGGAGTTTTTTGTTTTTCACTTTTCAGAGTCATTAGGGTTACCTTGTCGACAAGAAACTTGTAAAATAGAAGGGTTTTGTTCACATTAGATGTTTTATGTCATAGACATAGCGACAGCGAATAGTATTTGCTCCAGTCACTCATAACTTTTGGTGAATGATGGTGGCCCCTGTGTTTAAAACTTTGCTCTTTTTTTGGTTACAGTAGCTTGGTTGATACAGCTGGTTGCCTTAATAACGAAGACAAGTTATAAAATTCATTTTTCATACATGTCCCTCTATGTGATGATGCAATTTACTTTTCATTAATGCAAGTGGATTATAATAACATGTAACTTTTCTGCATAATTAAGTGAACTAATTCTGATTATCTGTGGAGTCTTTGTTATATAATTTTCTTACCAATCACAGGGCAATTGCTTGTAGAAGGAAAGTAAATTGATGTGGCTCCATAAACAATAATATGATGAATTGATTTTCATATTATATTCGTTTTAGCCTTTCTATTCAAAGCATGAAAATCATCATCTTCCCTAATATACTATGTTTAGGATATAGTCAAATAATCTTTTTCAAAATTAGTGAGATTTGTTTGTATTTTCTCATTAAATTATTGAAGAGATAGATGCCAATTATCTTTCCCCAAGTAAACATGTTATCGTGTTGAAATCATGAATTAAAGACAAGAATATAGGGTAGATAGATTACTTTCTCATTCTATTGATACAAATAATGACAAACTTGCTGAAGTAAATCATTTGTTTTCTTTTATTACTTTGTATCTTCTTTAAAGAAACTTGAACGTGGAAATCGGTAATATAAAGTTATAACAATAATATTATACTTATAAAGATTTAAAAAGTGATATATAATGTCAAACTTATTAAATTTATTTTTCTAACGATCTTTGTAAAAAAATTTTATAAGTATAGTATTACTCAAGTTATAAACTATAGCCCAAAACTTTACACTTATTTAAGGCAAAATGTTGTGATTTAATCATATTAAACACATTAGCGGGTGTACAATAGTACACGGCTACATGCAAAGATAGATGAGCACGAAAGTGTTAACCGAAAGTTATATTGGGATTGTTGATTGAGAGCGCAAATCTGTACTCTCAATTCTTAAACAAATTGCATTGCGCCAAAACTAAAGTTACCTCCACAGTAGAGAAAGTGGGCCAGGGACACGTAACCCTTTTCCTGTATAATTGTCTCTTTCCTTTAATTCTTGCTCTTCTTTTTTTATCATATCAAAGATTCAAAACACATATAATTTTCAACTGTACAATCTCATACTAGGAACTTTTAAGTTGTAGGAAACCATGTGCCCTGATTGAATCTCCTCTCATTCATATTGCTTACCACCACGTTTCTTCACCGCCGACCAAACGAACATCAAAAGAACAACTCCGAACCCCAACACTGCTATTCCTCCCACTGCAATCGCCACCGTCTTCTGTGTATGCTGCCTGGTCCCTCCACCTATCAAACGCATCATACCCATTAATATCTTTGATTGAACACTCAACCACAATGTATAAATTAACAAACAGAAAACACCAGCTTGGTCCTACCTTCCCAACCTCCTTGATTCTTAAAAAGAAAAATGTAATATTGTTCACTTTTTGAACATTAACAAAAGGAAAACACCAAAACTTTGACCAAGTATACAAATAAAAAAGAACCACATATTCCATCTCTTATTATAAAAAAAAAAAAAAATCTAATTTTTTTTACTTCACTATATGTTAATAAAATATGCTAGAGTCTACATTCGCATAAAAGATTAATGTGAAAAGAAGGTTTCTTTTTTTATTTATTTCTTTATTTTCTTTCTTTTGCTTTAACTTTACCTGCTGTTAATGGTGATGATGAAGTGTTAGGCACACCATTTGGGTAGTAGCTATAACTAATGTAACATTTATGGAGATAAATCTGCACTGCAATCGACTTTCCACAGTCATCTTTAGCTCTTTCTACAGCACTCTTCACACAATCCCCACAATCATTACTTGCCAAATCACCTTCACACTGCCCTAAAACATAAACTTCTTCATATTTCCCAGTGTAAAACGACCCACTATTTTTTACCCCATTCGTTAACACACTGAAGGCCATGTCTCTTTTGTTCTCAAACCCAGTTCCACTCGCCTGAGTTGACCCACATACCTTGTAGATCAACTCGGTCTCAGACACTTGCTTGAACCCAATGATTTCGTACCTAAGATAACACCCGCTGAGTTGAATCCGAGCTGCTATGGATTTTCCACAGAGTTTGTCAACCATGTCTGAGATTTTGCTCACACAAGTGTTGCACTCAGTGACAGCGAGGTCGCCTCTGCATTGGTAGAGTCCCATGATGGCATTTTGGCCGTCACCAGAAGTTGTGGTGGCAAAAGTTTGTTGTGATGATTGTGAAACCAAAGAGGACAAGAGTGTTTTCAGGTTTTGAGAGTAAACCTGTGACGAGTCTTGAAATTTTTGGGATGCACATCCTTTGAAAATCAAGGTGGTGGTGGTGTCTGCAGCAGTTGTAGGATGACAAAAAACCATCAGTGATAATAAGAAAAGCAGAGAAAGAGAAAGGAGAGAAAAGGGTTTTGTGAGTAAAGCCATTCGGGGATGTGAAACGAAATATGTTTTCTGGTTGAGAGTTCACATGATTGGTGAATGGTTTTTGTGTTGCAGGATTTTTCCTTGGGAGTTTCTAGAAATTGGTTTGTTCAGAAAACAGGGGAAGTAAGGAATGGTCTGGTGGGTTTTGATGCATAAGAGTATTGGCTATTCTTAAAGGGGGTTTGGCACTTTGGCCCTTTATGGGTTGCTTTTATGTTTCTAGCTTCTTTTTTAGCCTTTAATTGCTTTCTTCTAATTCAATACTGAACATAAATCATAAATCATAAACGTGTTTTAGTTATTTTGTTTATAATTATCGCTTTTATTTATATAATAGTCCAATTGCAACTAATTGAGAAGTCATGGCTGAGAGTCTGACGGAAACTGGGTAAGGCCTGGGTCAGCCGGTGTAAAACTGTAAAAAGGGGTTCTGAATTCTGATCGGATATGATTTTTGCTGTAGGCTTGGAATACATCAAGTATCAATTTTCATTAGCTTTAACAGCAATTAAAAAAAAAAAAGGTGAAAAAAAAAAAGAAAGAAAGAAAGACTGCATATGCAGTGGTTTGAAAAAGCACATGCAAGGTGGACTGCCTTTGATGAAGTCCTTATTGACCAACGGATATTGGTGAACTGATTTGAAGCGATAACTGGTTATTAAACAGTAACAGTCATGGGAGATTAATTAATGTTAGTTTAAATGTCCTTCTCATTTGCCATTTGTCAGTTGCCAATTCAACAAGTCTTTAAATCCAGTATGTCATATGAAAAGAATGACATATACACGTGGCAGCAGAAGCCTTGAACAACAAAGGAATTTCTAATTCAAGTGCTTTTGTAGACAGTAAGCTTTGATGGATCTAGAAATGGTTGGCTGCAACTGCAACCATACATAATAGCAATTCATGTGATATGCTTTGTGATAAATTTTATGGAATTTTCAATGCGTTTGTTATGAATTAATTTTCAATTTACGAGATAATAATAATAATAATAAATAATTCTGGACATCGTCAATCAGGTTTGATTTCCAAAAGGTCAAAAACTGAAAAATGAATTTATATCTGAACATACCCCTAATTATGTTTAATTTCAATTAGGTTTCATTTATTTAACCTGCAAAATTCTGAAACCAAATTTAATAAAACAATAGACTCAAGTCTAATAAAATCCAAAATAAATAAGATAATTCTTTATTAATTAAACTTCTACCTTTTCTTTTTTCACACTTAATAAAACATTAAACTAATTATAAAATAAATTCAATAAATGAAGGTTGACACATTACTTTTTTTGTTTTTTTAACTAAAATAATAAATAAATGGTTGGTTCAACTTCAACGTTATTACCAAAGTAAGTTTTTTTTTTTTTTT